CCACCCAACGCCCACATCCCAAACTCGAACGAAAGTTTAAAATCCTGAGACGTGGCAGCAATGGCCCATCGCCTGCTCGCCACCGATGCGGTAAGCCCGCACCACGAGCCTCACAGGAATCCCAGAGTCGGGCCGTGATCCTTACAATGAAAAATGAGAATGAGATAAACATCAGACAGTTTGTGATTGATACTCCACCGGAATGTATGTGCATGTAAACGTATGAGCGGTGGGCAATATTCATAGGCCCGAAAACGAACATGTGTAGAGGGTTAATGGTTGTGGGTTTACGTGATTAGGTATCGGTTCTCCACACCTGGTACATTCAGCAGGGGTATCGGTTTTGGTATAAGGTATCGGTTCCGCGAAAAATGAGCTTCGTCCTCCTGTACCACAACAAGAGGCCCTAATAACATGCGTCCCTCATTTCTACATATAGGGGAGATGTATGCAGGACCATACCTTTACCCTGCTTTTATACTACCTGTCTCATGCTGTGGGAGGATGGTCCCAAGCGATTGCTCTCACGGGCATCGTCAAGAGCTACTATGTTGGTTTTCGGGATTGATGTCTACACCTATTAACGAGTAGCCGTGTCTGGGTCATGTAGCAAAATCAAAGCTTACGAGAATCCGTTGTTGATCCTCTCGGTGGAAACCTGTTCACCTATACGCCCTCAAACCAAGGCCCTAAACTCCCGAAACTTTACCCGACAAAGCCCTGCTCGCTAAAGCCAACATAAACCCGAACCCCATAATCCCTGTAAGCGTCACAGGGAATTCAGGCCCGACGACCCCAGACCCATTCTAAGACCCATAAATCTAGAGACTTATAGAACCCTAAACTCAAACCCGTACCGTACCCTAACCCGGAACCCTCTCTCAGCCCGGCTTCGAGCCTCATGTGCTTCAGCCGCGTCCTCTCCAAGGCTGCCAGGTCCGCCTTGAGGTTTGGTTTATAGGGCACTGTAAAGGCTCTATAAGGGTTCTTTCAGGGCGGGGGTTTAGGATGTGGGGTTCAGGTCGAGGCTTGAACTTCGGCATCTAAGTCTCACGGACGATGGAGTTTCAGGGGTGAGGGTTCAGGTTCGGCTTCAGTCAGGTTCGTTCAGGGCGGTTTCTGGTTCAGTTTGGGGTCTTAGGGTTCAGTGTAGGAGTTTGGGTTTGCAGCCAGCTCAGGGTTGCGAGTCGCTGGGCTCTTTGGACTTTGATTTCTTGGGGTTCGGAAAATCTTGAGTCTGCGGTAAATGCTGAGGGTTTAAGGAGCCGGGCCTCGCACATTCTCTACACCAAGCAATAAAAATTTTGACAGCAACCCCAAGACTCCAAGCGGGCAAATGTGCTGAAACCCAAGAGCATCTCATCTCTGAGTCTGTGAGAAATCATAGGTATGGCTAGTTGCCATTAGTTGCCGAAGCGTCTCGGAAACTCTGAGCACCTCAAGCCTGCCACATGTAGACAGCCGAATCCCTGTCCAAAGTTTTCTGCAATCTCGCTAGTCCTTTCAAGACGCTACAAGGGCGAAGCCTGTTCATCTTGGTTTCATGAAGAGAAGCAAAGCTGGCCGGGCATTTGTGCTGTGTCTTCATGTATGTCCATTTCTGCATACAAACCAGTACATACACCGTTTTTGTATAGACATATGCATATCTACACACACACGGAGCCATAGACAGGTAACACGCACTCGCTCCCCTCCTCCCCCGTCCTGCCCCCCCAGCCCCTCGCACCTGCCGGGACGCCGTCAGCACCGCCCCGGAGTCGCGCCAGGCCTCCTGGAGCAGCAAAACCAACTCCACCATGGCCTCGGGCGGAGAGGCTGTGATTATAGGGGCTCTGAAAAGGCTTTACGACTTAATTACTAAGATTTTGATAAGGGGTTCTAAACGGGTGAAAAAAGGGTTCTATAAGAGTTCCTAGGGGCTCTAAACAAAGGTTTCAAAAGGATGCATAATAGGGGTTAGATAAGGGGTTCGAGATGACCTTTATACGGGTTCTAGTAGAGGTTCTAGAAGGGCTTTATAAGGGGTTTAGGGCTTGTAGGGATTCTATACAGCTTCTGCATCTCTTGTACCATTTGTTAATCAATGCCTGCATAAGAATCAAGCAACAAGCGGTGGAACCGACGCCCTAGCCAGGCCTGATGTTCCTGCAGCTTGGCGGGGCTGGCACGAAGCGCTTTCTCCACGCTATAAGACAGGCCTGAACAGCAGAAGAATGGGCGCTGAATTGTCGGAGCTCGTTTGTTTGATTTGTTTGTGGTCTGCTAGACATGTTCTGATGAGTTTGAGCTTTCCTCGGCACCCACAGAACCACACCTGCTTCTTCTGCACAGCCAAAGGAAGGCAGGTCCCTGCCCTCCCCGCGCGCGCACGCGCACTGGTCTTCGTGGTCTGTCAGTGCTAACTCTACGAGTTGAGGCCGAGGGTTTGGAACTCGCCACACCTGCTCTCTCTCTCTCTCTCTCTCTGCCTGCCCCAGCACCAAACTTTGAGAAGACCCTTCCCAGGATCCCGGCCTAAAGCAGCTGACAGCTGCGAGTAGCCTTGCTGGGATTCAGTAGTCTTTAAGGTGTTTGTTTCAAGAGGCAGGAGTTGATGCGTGTGTCGGAGCTCCAAGAGACCAGTACAGCACAGAGTTTACCGTTTCAATGCTCGGCACTGTTGCAGTGCCTTGCATGCAAACAGCTCGTCACTGCCCGGAGGATAAGTGCACTTGGAACTCTTGCTTCTTTGCGCTTGAGCTGAAACGAACAAAAGCCGATGCAAACAGTTTCCTCGAGCCCCAAAATAGCCTCCGTAAAAAGGCGCACTCGCACTCTCAGCCGGGTACCGTTCAGCGTGTCATTCAGAAGTGCTTGTGCACCGGCCACCTGCAGATCCAATCCATTCTGTATTGTTAATTATGTCAGCAAATTGCTTTATACAAACTCACAGCCACAGAAAAAGCTGTGAAAGCTGGGCAGCCTCCGAGAGTGTGAAGCTTCAAGCAAACAACCCCTTTGCTTGAGCGCAGCTGCCACATCACCCCCCAAAGCTGAACATGAGCCCCAAAGGAGCCGAAGCGACTGAAGCAACAAGTAAGATGAGGGGCCTTGGGCAGGCCGCTGGCCACGGCCCCCTGCATGGCCCTGGCAGGGGAGAGTCGAAAGGGCCCTCAGAGCCTCCGATCTTCGGATTCGGCCCCAACCCCATCCTCAGTGTCAACATCAGCGACAGGAAGAGGAGTAGTAAAACATGAGCAGTAGTAACAATCGTGCGAAACCCCATCCATCCAAACATACGTATCTATATTCATATTCGTTTAATATGTGTATTTACATCTGTCTACTGTATATGGTAAAACAACTCGTATGTTAATATGAATACTCTTATTGTTATTACTATTACCACTGTTGTGATCATTATTAGGATGATGATGATGATGTTATTATTATTATTCCTAGCAGTATTTTATTTACCACTATTCTTATCATTATTAGCATGGTTACCATCATGGCTAATATCATTATTGCGATTATAATTACCATGCAGTAGTAGTAGTAGTAGTAGTAGTAGTAGTAGCAGTAGTAGTAGCAGTAGTAGTAGTAGTAGTAGTAGTAGTAGCAGTAGCAGTAGCGGTAGTAGTGGTAGTAGTGGCAGCAGCAGCAGCAGCAGCTGGAGCAGCAGGAGGAGGAGGAGTAGTAGTAGTAGTAGTAGCAGTAGTAGTAGTAGTAGCAGTAGTAGTAGCAGTAGTAGTAGTAGTAGTAGTAGTAGTAGTAGCAGTAGCGGTAGTAGTGGTAGTAGTGGCAGCAGCAGCAGCAGCAGGAGCAGCAGGAGCAGCAGGAGGAGGAGTAGTAGTAGTAGTAGTAGTAGTAGCAGTAGTAGTAGTAGTAGTAGTAGTAGTAGTAGTAGTGTAGTAGTAGTATTATCAGATTACTACTAGTATCTCTTATTGCTGTGATTATTTCTGTTTTATTATTGATAATCTTATTATTATGATGATTATGATTGTTATCGTGTTATTACTGCTGTATTATCAGGATCATTACTACTATTATTACCGCTACTGCTGATCAATTTCAGTACATCACGGTATGCAACTTCCATGCATGCCCGGACTTGACTTGAGGTGTTTGGCTTTGCCAGCGAGATCGCAGAATCGCTGAACGCCCTGTGAACCCTACATATAATAAACACTCCCGGCTTGCTCGCGCCTCAGTTGCTTGGACGTGAACTCCACGTTCCATGGCGCCAGGGAGTACTCGGACCTCTGGGCAGCAGGGATCGAGTCTCTGCAGCATGTCAGGTTTAGGTTGTATAAAGATGTTTCAATTCAAGACGAGTTTTCGGTATAATCATCTGCACCTGGAAGGCTTGCACTTAGCAGTTGTTGTTGGGCGAGCGATGGAGAGTTGAACACTGCTGGACTCTTCAACCTCCGACTCAGATCCAAACCGGGTGGTGCAGCCCGGAGGACGAAAGGAGAGACAGCAAATGGCAGGACACAAGATTGAAGACTCCGAAATGGTGCAGTGGCCAAAGGGAGCTTACCGAAAAGCCTCGGCAAAGGAACTCAAGACGCGGTGAAGAATGTACAAGAGCCGTTGGGATTTCAAACCATCCTTCCCATGAAGATATCAAGCCGAGCCTCAAAGCTGTCAGGCACCTAAACCTTGCAAGTATTGCAGCCGAGCTGCTGTGCGGCAGCCTCGGGGGCCTCCAGAGCCCTTGGCAGCAGCAAAGGGGGCTTACTTTGATGCGGGGCAGGGTCCTTCAATTAAGGAAGATTTAAGGCTTCGGGCAAGGGCTGAGGCTCTGGGAAGGTAGACGATTGCACGTCGGGATTGGGGTGTCACGGCTTAAGGATTGGAAACCCAATTGGACAAGAACAGCATCCCGCTGACAGGCAGTTGCTGACGCCTTTTGGCACGGAGTTCCATGCTCACGGCACCAAGAAACTACATCATGAAAGCATGAAGGCAGGCATGTATGCAGGCGCATACACTCGAAAGGCTTCATCCTATGGACCTTCCCAGCCAGTGTTGTGCAAATGTCGAATATAACTCCCGTATCTGACCAGCTCCTCATTCTCGTGCAGTGCTTTTAACAAATCGTGCTCAAGGCGTAGCACGTCCAGGTTTCTCAGCATCACTTCAGCCTCCGGTAGCCTGTCTCGCTTCATCATCCTTCTGATTTGCTGTGCCAGTGACCGGATCCTTGTTGCCCTTCCTTGGCCTGCAAGATCCAGTCTCTTCCCAAATGCTTGGTTGCCCGTTAGATGTTCAAGTTGAGTGCTGACTTGTGCCGCGCTCCCCGGCGTCAGGCTCAAAGCCAGCTCCGCCTGCTTCGCTTTGCAAAGCAGTCCGGCATGCAACATCTGCTGTAGTATGCGTTTGCAGCCGGGCAGACCATAAACACGAAGCCGATTACAATCTTCTGTTACTGTCAGTGTTGTGCTTACCCCTGAGGTTTCGCAAAACAACTTGCGAAGGCACATCAAAACTTGGGGATGCTTTTGATCAATCTGCAGAGTCAGGGAGGCACCTGCATGCGCCTGTCTAATGTAGCCCTCTGCATCGAAGAAGCCGGCACAGTACTCCCAACTGCATGGCCCTGCGACCGCCGACTCATAGTTCTTCAGATCACGAAGCTCCGCTTTGCTGCTCTCTCTTTCGGACTTCGTGTCGGGCCACTGGGCGGCCAGCACGAGCTGCTTCTGCTTGGTGATGCTGCGTGGTGCCAGGAGCAAAGCTGCCCTTCGGGCCGACTGGCCACATAGCGACCACCCTAGAACAGGCTTTTGAAGTCCCACGCCTTGCCTGTGCAGCCGGATGCTTCCACCAAAGGTGTCACGCAGGAGCATGAGAATGGCGGCCTGGTCGAAGGACTGCGCTACACGCAAATAGCATCCAGACAAACCAGATGCACAACCCACACTGCCATCACCGTCAAAGAAGCCGGCTAAAAAACGCAGCCTGCACTCCGTGGCAACGATCGGCGCGGCGGATCTCTCGCTGGACGCTCGCAGTGGCAAATCATACACACGGCCGTGCGCCTGGAAGCGCCGTAGCTTGGGCCAAGGCAGGGTCTTCAGACTTGCTCGAAGCTGCTGGTTCTTGTGGCGGACCTCCGTGACCTTCCCAGCATCAATTGCATTAAAGCTGTCGACGCCGGTCACGGGCGGTCGTGGCTCAATCGCTGCCGCCCGCAATATTCCGTGTGCAAGTGCTTTCGCAGATCCACTCCACCCCTGATGAGGAGCACATGACTTCAGACACACGCGAGCTATCTGCCATTGTCGCACGCGACTTGCAAGCAAAGATCCGGCAGAGTGCATCTGAATTCAGAGGAATTCCAATGCCAGGGCACCGCTATCGAACCCGCCGGGGCCCGCTCAGATCTTGATGCTTACAGCTGCAGACACCGACGTTCTCTGCCAATCCGGATGCGTTTAGCCCTCTCAGCCCTAGTGATCAAGCAGCTTTCGAGGATGCCCATACCCAGACCACCGTGTGGATCCAAGAAAAGATCCCTTCAGGGGGTTCCTATAAAGTACACTTTAGTAGTTTGGGTCCCAAATTAGGGGATCTACGTTTTAGATCCTCCTGGGTCCTGGGGGTCTGGGTATTTCCGGATTCTCCATCTGGCCGCTGCCGACAAGACTGGGGACCATACTGCCACAGACAGGACAAAACCTTTGGCCACAGTAGCACGGTACTATTGGACCATGCATCCAAGTGCCTAGACATTCGATAACCACAAGACCATCTGAGCACCGTGCTTTCGCTCGTGGCTCTCCGCCCCGAGGATGGACTCGATCCTCGCGATCTCCGCTACATTCTTGAAGTGCATCAGCTCAGAGACATGGACAGCTTCTATAATCGAATGCATCTGAAGACCGTTGAGAACGCGCATGTGTACATACCGACGAATATGAACAAAACGCATAGACCTACCGCTCGTAACCTGTACTGAAATACGGACCCCGCAGTTGCCGGACCAACATGCCAGGCTCCGGGCAGTCGCTGCACTCGCCTCTCGGCCTCCTCTTCGCTTCCTGGTCGAAAGAAGCGAGAAACGTCTATTGGCTCAGGGCCTCGGGCCTCGCGCTCATGGCTTGGATTTGGGATTCATGTCTGGGGTGTCGGAAGGCACATGGCCATTGCTCACGCCATTCCGTCACACTGCCCGAGCTCCGTCAGGTTCGTGGAGACGAAAACAGTCAAAGTGATTGCACGATCAGGATGGCAATGCTAATTGACACCTCGCATAATCATAGAGCTGTGTGATTAAGTGTTCCATCTCTGACCTTAAACGCCCAACGCAGAAAGCACCTAAACCTGGAACACTAAATCCCCAAGAGCCCAAACTCCAAAAGCCCCGCCTTCCGGCACAGCCACGGAGCTCAGCTCGGCGAAGGACGAGATACTGGTCAGGAGCGTGGCCTGAAGACGACTAGGAAGCGCCCCGAAAAAACGCGCCCAAGTTGCCAGGATCTCGAGGTTTTTGGGACTTCAGGGCAAATAAGGGGTCAGAACACTCAAGGTTTAGGACTTGATCCTAAAGCTGGACTCGGGGTGTGCGGCACAGGTTCATGAAGCTGCAAGTAGAACCCGTCGACAGGCAAGACAGTATGGCTTTAACACCAAACCCGACCGGCAGCCTGAAGACAAAACCTTGAACCCCCCTAAATGCCGGAATCTCAAGCAGTTACAAACCACAAGACCTACGACGTAAGCCCTCTTTTTGGCCTTGAAAGGCTCAAACCAGCCTCAAAATTCAAGAGGTGTCCGCCTGGTGCAGCTGAGCAAAGCTGTCCCTCTTGAGGGCTTTCATCGCCAGCTCCTTTCCGAATGGCTTCAGAAGGCATGGCATGGTGTTTACATGGTTTAGGGCCGTTTTGGGTGTTCCTTTAACTTTGGGGCTTGGGGTTTAGTTTGGGATCGGACTCCGAGTGGCGCAACTCGCACTCCAAGCTGCTGAGCAAAGATGCCATCTCGAAACATGAAAGAACCCATTGATTTCAGCCGAGGCTGAAAAGTTACGAGGCTTGATTTCAGCCGAGGCTGAAAGGTTACGAGGCTTTACATGAGCTACCACTCCAAACGATGGCATGACCTGATTAGACCTAACAACACTTCGCGCATCGCAAACGAAAACACGTAGGTTGCCTCCAGTTTGGCCATGCATGCTCTGATACCCTACGAGTCTTGGTGGAACTCAGGAACAGCAACCCGAGTTCCCGTTCAACCAGTGGCGGAACTAGCTCCCATCTTCTTCCTGCACTACATGCTAGCTTAGCTCATCTGGCTTTGTTCCAACGGCTATGGTAGATTGGTTTGTGTCAACATCAGCAAGCCCCAGAAAAGGCACACTAAACTCGACAGAATGACCCTCAACCACAGAACATGGCGCAATGTGTATTCAGGCACCTGTGACTGGGCGTGCACCGAGAACTTCTCCTTGACAGCCGCCTGAGGACGGAGAGGTTGGGTGTATGGCTGCGGGTTGCCTGCTGGCAAGTAACCCGGAGACGGACGCACAAGGGATTTATAATCCTGAGGACTTTGGGTCAAGAGCTGTAGGATTCTAGGGCGAGTGGCATGGTGGGAGATGTTGGGACCTTGACCAAATTCTCAAGCCCAGATATGGTTGGACCCAGACTGGCTCGACGCAACGCAACTGCACCTATCAGGAGACCACGTGCTTGCAAGGAGGACCGAAGAAAAGCACGACCTTCAGCAGCGACGCCAAAAAATGAATATCTGCCCAACCCCAATTGAAATCCGAAACTGCACACTACCCTCCAAGTGCTAGAAACCCCAGGCCGTGCAGGCCCCAAGCCCTAAACCCCCCTATGAACCCTGCAGCCCTAAACTCCTGAGGCTCCAGGCCCATCCGAACTGCGAGGTTTCCGGCTTCACGACCACTCCCAGACCTGATCTCCACCGCGATAAAGACAAAGGAACAATACTAAGAAGAAGTAAGATAGATGCGATAGGTAAGTAAGTAAGTATAATGACGTTTCTACAGTCATAGCAATTGTTGCAATGTGCACATGGTTGTCGGTGTCTTTCCGTGTGCCCGGCTGCAGGCAGCCTTGGCAGCGGCCCAGAGCGGATCCTGGCAGCCATTGGTCCCAATAATCATGCAGCTTTGAGTTGATGGTTTGGGGTTCTTCGGGCGGAGTTTGTCATACCTTGTTTATGGGAACCTCTAGGTATACTGAATGGAGTGGAGAATTCTCACAGTCTTCGACGCGACTGCCTCACCGTCAGAACCCTGGTGGAGCCTGCCTGCGATGCTTTCAGCACGCCTGGGCTTGCGACGGGTGTCCACAGGCTTGCAACACGTTTTGTAGCCGTGACGGCTGAAGGCTAAGCTGCATGAAGTTTAGGATTCTGGGAACTAAAGTTAAGGGCATCTTGAGTGCAGAGCGAAACAAAATGCGCGAATTACAACTCAAGGCTTTACGATCCCTTCACGCCGAAAGTCCCCCCAAGGAAATCGTTCAAACTCCAGTGCTGTGGCGCGGTCACGGAACGAGCGGTTTAGATCGACATGCGCTTGGAAAGAATAGGACTGCATCATTGGAAGCATGCAGTAAGCAGGGTGACATGTACGTATCCGAGAATTCACACTAGGTGAGCTTCAGCTACACTTCCACACTTCTGCACGGGAAAGGGTGATCATGCATGCCAAGAAACTAACAGACCAACCGAGTCTGCCGCTATACTGCCGCAAAGGAAAGCTTGATATCCCAGTTGAAAACTGCCCGATTGCAAACCAACACCAGAATTGCCGCCACTGGCCTGCAAGGACCCTTGATTCCTGCCACAATCATATAGCTCCCACATTGTCTGCAGCTTCGGTGCGATGCGCCTTCCGGGGGAAGAGACACGAGAGCCCATGTGCAAAAGGCCGTCCGAATTAATGGAGCTGTAGGCGCAAAACCAGGTTTGCGATGTCTTCAATGTAAGGAGCTCGGCGACATCTGCTTGCGTCCGCAGTGCGAAGCCCGGAACTCTTTAGAAACCAGAAGCCTCAAAGACTTCACGGCTGCATCCCCACAGAGCGCTTAGAACGAACGATGTATGCCACACAAAACCAAACACCCCCACATAGCATGACGGGACACAAACCGAAACCCACGAGACGCTGATAAGCAGTTGAAAGTTACTACGAGCAAAGCTTGGTACAATCCCGACATTGAGCACCGCCTCAACGGCGTTTAGGAAAACACTTGAAAGGATAAAGGCTTAAAGGGATAAAACAATAAAAGCCTTAGAGCCGGAAGCAGGGCGTGTAGCTGTTTTGGGTCTGGGGCTTCCGGTGTTGAGTTTAGGGTCTCTTGCATGCATAGCAGGCCAGGCCCCGAAACCCTGACATGTGCCTAGAGAGGCTGTTCGACGCGAGGTTTACCTTGAGAGCTACTGTTGAACTTGGGTGGATCAAAACGGAGCCCTAAAGCCTAGTGACATCGACGAAACGACAGTTCTGGCGCCTCCTCGCCAAGGCGCCGCCTAAGCGACGCCAATCCAGCGGCCAGGCCAGCGTAGATCTGGTGCGGGTTCGTGGGTAGTCTGGGGGTTAGGAATTTACGGCTCGAAGGGTTAAGGCCGCTTATGTTGGGATTATTGCGGGTTTTAGTGTCGGTCTTGCAAAGGACGACAACCAGCAGGGCCTCAGAAAACAGTAGCTAGGGACTCACTGGTTTCAAATTTTGGATGCGGGGAGGCCTGTAAGAACTTGGGTTGAATTCTCCTGTCTGTCAACAGACCCGAGGCTCTGAAGATCCGCAACACAGAACGCCCCACCCCATGTCCCCAATGAACACCCTGCGTGTGAGACCTGAACCTCCACGGAGGCCTCAGATGGTATGTAGCGTAACTCATAAACCCAGTGCAAGCCCATCAACATGCGACCCGAAGATCTAGAACACCCTTTCTTGGTTACCTTGTTTCCTTCATAGGGGTCCTACATTGGAGACTGTAGTGGTATAACAAAAAAGAGGCCTCTGATTCATAGGGTTTAGGAGTAATGCTGGCAGTGTTCAGACCCCTATACTAAGCCTTCATAATTCCCATTACAGTAACTTCGCAGGTGGCACCTGCCAAACTATCAAAACAAAAACAACCAAAACCCTGTAGCCTAAAAGCCACCAAACAACAAAAACAACAGAGAAAACCTTTAAGGCACCTGGTATAGCCTAAACCCTAAACCCAGAACCAAAAACGCCTAACCGGCATAGCCCCTACAAAGGCACCTGGTAGAGCTCCTCCATCAGCTGCGTCTGGTCCTCGCCACTGAGAAGCCGCTCCAGACTGAGCCCGATGG